TTTGTAATATACATGGGTTTTCTAACATTTTTCATTTCCAGCGGTTAAACTCCGCTCTAAGGAATCCCTGCCTACCAATTAGCCATGCATTTCTGGATTTTAACAGGGAATCACCACATCCCGGGTCTCCTGCAATTTGTAATTTTATATATAATTTTGAGTCATCACAGCATGTCCAGTTTGGGACTGGCTCCCTCACTCAACATGAAATTGTGTCATGGTCCTTTTTCTTGCTGGGAATAGTCGCTAAGTACAGCTACCACTCCATTTTATCTTTATCACTATCTCTTCTGATGACGACTTGCTGTTTTTTGAGCACCTTTAATTTCTTTACACAATAAGTCGGTGTGAATTCTGGAATAAGCTATTTTGCACATCATTTTTACATTTCTTCTTATATAAAGCACACAGGAGTGAGGTGAACTGCGTTCACAAGTTAGTGGATCACTTTAGTTTTTCTTAGATCTAGTGATCTATAAACTAACACACACATGATCTTGGGGCACATCACCACATAGTGGAGGATTAATATTATAATTTATACTTATTTGAACAGTCCGCTCTCTACCAGCGACTAGTGGGCAATGATCTCGGTCACTAGCAACCTCTAGTCACTATTTATCTCAGGTCAGTTCTTCTACGGATTACTACCATTCCGAGTAACTGGGACACAGGTGCACAACAACTTGCCTGCTAATTTTTTGTCATTTTTACAATAACAAAACAACCGATGTGCAGCGCTGGGTACGACGCTCCTGACCTCACAGATCGCTCTAGCCTCCAAAGTGCTGGGATTACAGGCCAACCACTGACCCCGGCCTATATTTGAGACAATCTCACCTGTCACCCAGGCTGGAGCAGTTGTGCAATCTCCTCACGCAACCTCCACGTCTCAAGGTCAAGAGCAATTCTCCCTGCCTCGCTTCCAGAGTCGGATACATGCACCCTGCCACCGACCATCCAGCTAATTTTCATTTCAGTGAGATGGGGTCACCATGTTTAGCCAGCTGGTCTCCGAACTCCTACCCTCAGGTGATTTGGCTCAGCCTTTCCCCAAAGTCTGAATTACAGCCGTAACCACTTGCATGGCGCCTGGCTAATTTTTGTATTTTTAGTAGAGATGGGATTTCACCATGTTGGCTAGACTGGTCTCGAACTCCTGACCTCAGGTGATTTGGCCTCAGCCTCCCAAAGTGCTGGGATTACAGGCGTAAACCACTGCGCCTAGCTAATTTTTGTATTTTTAGTAGAGATGGGATTTCACCATGTTGGCTAGACTGGTATCGAACTCCTGACCTCAGGTGATCTGCCCACCTCAGCCTCCCAAAGTGTTGGGATGATAGGCGTGAGCCACCACACCCAGCCTGGAGGTGTATTTAAAAAGCATTGACCCCTGCTTCTGTTAAGTGAAACACTTCCATTTCCCCTTGCCCTTCACCTCCAGAGCCCCCAGGCAGGCAAGGCTGGGAAAGGTCTTCCACCCCTTCTCCAGGTGCCCTGATGTGCTGACTGTGTGCCAGTGAGGGGTCGGGGTTCTTCGGAGCCCACCGTCTTAGCAGGAGCTGGCTGCTGTGTGTCCCTGTTGGGTTGTGTCTCTACTCTCTGTATCTGTCTCTTTGTCCCTGTCTCTGATGCCTAATCTCTGTCTCTTTGTTGCTCTAATCTCTCCAGCGTCCCTTCTTCTCTCCCCTGTCTGTGCTGGAGTCTCCCCAAGGGTTCAGGGTGGGGGTTGGGAGTCCCCAAGGCCTGGGATGACCCCTCTTCCCTCCTGCACCCCGTACCAGTACCCAGATGGCGTCTTCTATGACCTGGACAGCTACAAGCATTCCAGCTACCCTGACTCAGAGGGGGCTCCTGGTGAGTGACCCCAGCCCAGTACCCTTCCTGGCTTGGGGCCCATTTCACAGATGGGGGAGCTGAGGCCCAGGGGAGGTCATCACCTAGCACAACAGGATAAAGGTGGCCTGGGCCTGTAGCCCTCCTCCCCTTTCCTCTCCCACCCATCCGCTCCCCCATGCAAATCCTGGGGTCAGAGATTTGCACTGCCTACAATGGCCTCTCTGTGCTGGGGGCTTCGACTGGGAGGAGGCCTCCCTCAGAGCTCCCAGCTTCTGACTCAGTGCCCCTCCCCCAGACTCCCTATGGGACTGGACTGTGGCCCCACCTGTCCCAGCCGCCCCCTATGAAGCCTTTGACCCAGCAGCAGCCGCTTTTAGCCACTCCCAGGCTGCCCAGCTCTGCTATGGACCCCCCACCTACAGCCCTGCAGGGAACCTCGAACTGGCCCCCAGCCTGGAGGCCCCAGGGCCTGGCCTCCCTGCATACCCCACGGAGGACTTCACCACCCAGGTGAGTGGTAAGGGGACAGTTGAAATCAAGCCCAAAGCAGGTGTGGTGTGTAATCCCAGCTACTTGAGAGGCTGAGGTGGGAGGAGGATTGCTTGAGCCCAGAAGGTCGAGGCTGTGGTGAGTGGAGATCGTGCCACTGCACTCCAGCCTGGGCAACAGAGCAAGATCCTGTCTCAAAAAAAAAAAAAAGAAAAGAAAAGAAAAGAAAACTCAAGCTCAGTCATTTGGCTGAGGTGTGCTGGGTGCCAGGCACCGCACGGAGGCTGCACATAGTAACCCCTGCAGCAGCCTCCCAGTTACGTTCTGTTGTTGCCCCTCTGAACAAGTGAGTCAAGAGAGGTAGTGACGGGAAGCCAGGGACAGGGCAGCCTCACATTATCTGTGTTGGACCAGCTTTAAGGAGGTGCCTCAGGTGTCCCCTGGCCACAGTGTGGTGATCTGAACAAAGGCCAGAGTCCACACTGTCAACAAAGAGGGAGACTAGAGCCAGGAGGGCCACCGCCTTGGCCTGAGAGGAGGAAGTGGAGGGAGACAAGGGGTCCCTGGACGTGCAAGTGACCCTGACCTTCCGCAGACCCTGGTTTCCCCGGCATATGCCCCGTACCCCAGCCCCGTGCTATCAGAGGAGGAAGACTTACCGTTGGACAGCCCTGCCCTGGAGGTCTCGGACAGCGAGTCGGATGAGGCCCTCGTGGCTGGCCCCGAGGGGAAGGGATCCGAGGCAGGTATGCGGGAGTGGCTGGGGTGGGGCAGATGCCAGCTGGAGATAGTTGGGGGGCTGAGAGCACCATGGCTTCCTGGGCCTCTACATATATGCCAGCACTCCAGGCAACTCCAGATCCACACCATCTGCTGGCTGTGTGACCTTGGGTAAGTGCCTCTACCTCTCTGTGCCCAGGTTTCCTGTCTGTGCGATGGGGATGGAGGTGATAGTGTCTACCCTCCTGAGGTCGTTGGGAGGATTAGATGGGATAATAAGTGTAAATGGGACAGCAGTGCCAGGCACAGAGTCAGCACTTCAATAAGTCGACCTCTTCCCCATCATTCCTGACACCACAGCAACAGAAATAATAACGCTGTCAACCCCCAACGCTTCAACCCTTGCCCTGCCCATGTGCCCAACATCCTTTATGCTCAACCCCAAGAAAGCTGAGATCATTCCTTACTTTCTGTGCCTGGGCCTCGCTTTCTCATCTATAAAGTGAGCATCATTGTCATCGTCCCTATCTCACGGGGTTATGACGGAGATTAAATGAGCTCATAATTGTAAAGCACCTTGCAAAGCACCTGGCCCTACAGGCTCCACAGTGGATTGTAAAAATCAACACACAGGCTGGGTGTGGTGGCTCACGCCTGTAATCCCAACACTTTGGGAGGCTGAGTGGGGCAGGACCTGAGGTCAGGAGTTCGAGACCAGCCTGGCCAACATGGCAAAACCCCGTCTCTACTAAAAATACAAAAATTAGGCC